GAGAGAGAGAAACACTGATGAAAATGGATGATGTCATTCTGGGTTAATAAGTAAAATTCTCCTGTCCTGATACTGACACGACAGGAAGATCAATCTCAAATCTAAAACTGACAGAGTGAAGTTCAACAGTTCAGATAAAAAAAATTACAATTTTAACCAAAATCCACCCCCTCTTTGATCTGATTTGATGCCAAAAATAATCTTTTTTTAATCTCCCAAAGACATAAAACCTAGAGACGCACGCAGCATAACGTCCAGCTCACACTCCATGGTGACGTGTTCCTAATCTAATCTGATCTGATCTAATCTAATCTGATCTGATCTGACCTAATCTGACCTAATCTGCAGATCTAGTCTCTCCAGGTCTGTGGACCACATGTTGACTACAGTGTCTGTCGAACTCCTGACATCATGGAACATCTTACCTTCAGTCCTGCAGGTCAACAGAAAACTGATGATAGTCTTTCAAGTTCATCTGTGAGTTCAGTAGTTCTCAACCTGGGGTTCCAAGACCTCCGTGGGTCAGCTGACTGTGGACACGGGTCTGTGGGTTTGGAACACAGATTACGTCAGGGTTGTTTGTTGACCTCTAGTGTCAGTGTCCCACTGAGGTCCAAACTCTTCTACTGTGACCATAATATCAAGTGTACATTTAATGTGTGATTTATTCACCTGCTGCCCCCCCCACTTGACCCCCCCACACACACTTCACCAACATCCACCATTTTAATGACAAACTATTGTGAATAATTTACTCAAACTACCACAACAAAACTGTGTGGTACGGTTTCCCTGACGTCAAGGGCCGTGTCGTAGGATGGAAGTGAGATCATTGTGAAAAGAAAAAAAAAAAAAAACGTTCGATTATCGTTTTTTTTTTTATTTGACACAATTAGCTCATCTGGATGCTTTAAAAAGATGCCTGCTGCAGCTGCATTTCAGGTAAGTGAGTCTCGGGGACTTCCTTTCTCCAAATATAAAAGCTGTGCTCTGAAGGCAGGAGAGAGAGAGAGGGGAGAGCGAGTGCCTGATGATGATGATGAAGTTGGTGATCAGGATGGGCGTCCTGCTGCATCTCTGCTGCACCGCACACTTAGACTTTAACCTCAACAAGGAGATCATTGACAGACTGATGAAGCTGCACTTGGACAAGAGCTACAGCTTCAACTCTGTGAGTACACACACACACACACAGACACTGAGTGTGTGTGTGTGTGTGCGACAGGCTGATAACATTCTGGTTCTGGTCGTTCTCACAGACCCAGCCGCTGCCCGTGATGTTGGTTGACAAGGGAACACAGAGGGTGAGGGCTGCACATCTGAACACACCTGAAGCTCAGAACTTTGTTCTGACACTGAAACATGTCCAACTGTTCCTCAGACCTGCATTCACACCTTCGCCAAAGAACTGAGCCTCGTGCTGAGCCAGGTGACCGTGCCTGAGCGGAGTGAGAGTCTGCTACTGGAGCTGCGGGCCAACCTGAAGGCTCTGAGTCCAGCCCAGGAGGTGGCAGCAGGTGACCCCCAGGAGGTCCGTCCACACGCCTCTCACTTCTCCACAAGGTCCATTCAACATGTAGAATGTATCTGAACACGATGTTTCTGCTCCTCCAGGTTGACCAGAAGTGCCATTTTCAACAAAAAATGATGAGTAACACTTCACTGGTCTTTAAGAGATACGCAACCTTCCTGCGGTTGCTGAACAACATGAAGACGAGATGAGAGTGTGACGGTTACTGAGGTTCACACTCGTTCAAACCACCAGTGAATGTATCATGGTCCAGTTTAGAGCTTTTTTAAAATGATTATTTATATTTGATTATTTATCTGGTTATTTATTTAAATTAAATTAATATTTTTGGACAAATGTGACGACGTGTTCTGTTGTGTTACTTCAATCTTTTGTCGACTGAACGCTGCTACAAGAACTGGAACAAAGGCTTGAAGAAGAATCTGAAGCTTCAGATCTCTATTAGTTTCATTCTGTCTGTCTGAGTTTAAAAGGTCAAAAGTTCATACTTACAGACTGAGAGACCACTGAGGTGTGATGAGGAGGAGGAGGAAGTTTGATGAAGATGTGGCTCAAGTATTTAGATCCACAACACAAGACCAGTAGACGATCGGCCTGAGTGTCCTTTATCTGAAAGACACATCTGAAAAAACACACACACCTGCACGGACATGCTCTCTCTCTCTCTCTCTGACACACACACACACACACACTCACACACACACTCACTCACACCCACAGGGGTGGTGTTATGACTTGACTGTTTGCAAAAACTGAGATGTAAGAGCTGAGAAAAGTCAGAGGAAGAATGGTAAAGACGTGAGACAGCATGTTGTAGAAAACATCGATAACATCTCGCGGTTCTCACACAAGCAGTCGATCACATCGTCGCACAACCAGAGCTTCAGATTTCGCGCTGTTTCACTCTCTGTGCAGCAGGAAGGAAACAGTCAGCACCATACCGCGGCAAACGCGATATTATCGTCATCGCCACTGATAATTATAATTACAGCAACCGCGATAAATATACACTCACCGGCCACTTTATTAGGTCCACCATGCTAGTAACGGGTTGGACCCCTTTTGCCTTCAGAACTGCCTCAATTCTTCGTGGCATAGATTCAACAAGGTGCTGGAATCATTCAGAGAGTTTGGTCCATATTGACATGATGGCATCACACAGTTGCCGCAGATTTGTCGGCTGCACATCCATGATGCGAATCTCCCGTTCCACCACATCCCAAAGATGCTCTATTGGATTGAGAT